TCGCTGGGATTCAACACTCTCGGGGCCTCCTTCGCTGGGATTCAACACTTTCGGGTCTTCCGTCGCTGGGATTCAACAGTTTCGGGTTCTCCATCGCTGGGACTCAACACTCTCGGATCTATATAAACACCTTTTCGGTCATGGTTTTACGGCTGAAAGCGGAGAAGAAGAGGGTGATGAGGGTAAGCCGGCTGATGATGCTATCGTGGAGGAGGGCTGAAGCCTCGAGCGCGTCACGACTGACAACACGGCGGCCTGACAAAAAGCCTCAGTGTGAATTTCTGTATCTGAAGCCCGACCCGTTGCCATCTAACCCAACATATACAAACACTGCTCTCCGAGTCCACAGGCTTTACTTGCTGAGAGAGCGAGAGGGACAGGGACAAAGACTGTGAGTGACGGACAAAGCTTTATTATTTTGACTGTGAGTTTGTGAGTGAGTGAGCGAGGGAGTTGATTTGAAATAGAAACATTTTTCGAGCGATTCTGTTAGAATTCTCAAACATTGCATCTGATCAAATCTTTGAAATTTCCACACGACGAATAATTTCATACAGTATAAGTATATTCACGTTGAGAACAGAAGAACTGAAACATGAGTGGACTCCGACTTCTTGTGATGAGTAGTTTTGCAATCATCGTGTATTTGAAAGAAGAGACCATCGCCATCGTCCTCATTTCTGAAACTGTCATATGTGTGTAGGCATGTGTGTATGCATGGCATGCATGCATGTCTGCCTATATGTGCCCAAATACGCATGCTTGTAAATGTCTGTATGTGTGTGTACGTATGCATCATGTACGTATGCAAGCACGCACGCATGTACGTACTGTCGTGGTCATGGTCATTACTGCAAGCCCGCCGCACGCATTTCTCTATGCAGTTTGAATTAAACTGAACAGTAGCCTAAACCCTAAACCGCTAAGCAAGCCTCAACCTTAAACCCTATAGTAACCTAGACTCTATAGTACCTGGACAGTAGCCTGAGCCCTAAACTATAGTACCCTTAATAGTAGCCTAGGCCCTACAAGTAACCCTTATAGCACCCTTATAGTAGCCTGAACCCTAAGCCCTCTAATACCCCTATACTAGCCGAAACCCTAAACCCTATAGTACCCTTATAGTAGCCTAAGCCCTAAACCCTATAGTACCCTTAGAGTAGCCTGAAACCCTAAACCCCATGGTAGGTTTGTAGGGGGCTTTGGGAACGCCGAATCCTTAACCCTCGAAGCCTTGGCTTCCCTAAGCTTCTGGTTAAAGGATACTTTTAAGTAAGTTGTGCGTTGCACCCACCACGCACACCGACACTGCAACCCAAGACACCGCACCTCATACCCCCTACACACACCACTAGACTGCTTAAAGACCCAAGCCCAAGACGGAGTGATGGTTTTGGGAAGTTGAAGGCGCAAACCCCTGACCACCAAAACGGCTGGATCTAGCCAATGGAGTTTGGAACACCAGTTCCTTTTGGACACCTGATTGCCGGAAAATTTCTTTTTGCCTGCCTCCCCACCCCCAACACCCCAGACATCATGAGCATCATCGAAGGCCCGTTTCTCCATGAGTGTTGTAGTGCACCCTTCGAAATGCGCCCGCCAGAGCCGCAAAAGGAGGCAGGTGGACACGCCCCAAATTCCCTCCCCAGCAAGGGGATTAGCTGCCAAAACCGGACCTAAATTCAGGGGGACCCCCCCCAAACCCCCTAAGCCTTCTGGCAGAACAAGTTCTGACTATTGAAACGAAAGGCTCTCTGGGGGAGAGAGTTCGTCATTATTCTGTGCTTTGGCTCTTCAACGATTCTTTCGAACCTGAACCTGACGCCATGCCCGATGTGACATAGATAGAATTTAGACTCCGGGCTCGAACCGGTTACCTTGTCGGTGGCATCTGTGTACGGCTGGAAAATATTGAAGGCGTCTTCGTTCAGCTCGATAGACTTGCTGTCGAAGATAATGGCCTGAGGGCGGAGATGAACGGACATTGTCAACCACGCAGCGGACGATGAGTACTATCACCACAACCACTTGAATTCGACGAATGCATTCTTCCGTCAGTCGGTCTATCAGTGCCGCAAGACCATCAGTGCTGATCGGGCCGCAGTAGCAGAAGTGGGACAACTGACCGCAAAGACTGAAAAGGCCTTAGCAACCATGCAACCCCTTACAATTGCTAGAAAAACCTGGCCGTACTTCCAAGAACAGGTTAGCTAACAGCAACGGCATCGGCAACAGCGAGAGAGAGAGAGAAAAGACAGACAGACAAACAGACAGACAGACGGACAGACAGCGGACAAAGAAAAGGACAGAGCGAGACAGAGAGAGGCAGAGCGAGACAGAGCGCGAGAGCGGGGGAGAGAGAGAGAGAGAGAGAGTCAGTCAGCAACTGCAACGGCAAGCAAAACAAAAACCAGAACAAGAACGGGGCAAGAACAAGAGCAACAACAACCACATACGAGTAGCAGCAGCAGCAGCAGCAGCAGCAGCAGCAACGGCAGCGGCAGCGGCAGCGGCAGCAGCAGCGGCGGCAGCAGCTTGGGCAGTCACGCTACCCGAGGGCCTCTTGGTTCTTCTGGCTCAATTTCTGGCCCGTGCGGCGAACTGCGAAATGCAAGTCCCGCAGCTCCCATCTCCAGCTCACCGAGAAGCTCCGGCCAACATCCCTGAAGACAGACGATGGCCTTTGGCATCTCGGACTGACGGTCTAGCATCGTTTTGACGGCATCCACGATCTGCCCGACCCTCTCCGCACGGTGAATGCTCGAGCCCCGAAGGCCCTGCAGGTCTTTCTCGATGTGCTCCAAGAAGTGGTGGTTGAGGACGTTCCAGGACACCACGTACAGCTCCTTCCCCAGACCCAGGGCCCCCTTGCGAAGTCCTGCGCCGACAGGAAGGTGGTCGGAGACGAAGTCCCACTTGTCGCGGAGGGGCTCCACCAGGTGATGCGGGAAGTGCCAAGAACTCCCCAACTGGTTCATCAGTACGAGCTCAACACAGGCTTCCAACAGTTCTTGAACCTCCTGCAACCCCTTTTCCACCAGCTCCGCTATCTCCGCTGTTGTTTTCTTCTGACCGGCACCTGCCAGATCCTGTTTGGCACTCACTCTCTCCAGGCGCTGAATGACATCCTGCACGCAAGTGAGGCCTTCGGCGGTCTCTGACTCTGACTGTGGCCCTCGGTGCTGCAAATCCTCAAGCTGCCTCTCCACGTCCTGCAAGCTTTCGCCTCGGCACTGCGGCCAGAAAGGTATCAACAACCCAAACCACTTCCTTCCTCAGGATCCGGCGAAGTGCTGGAAGATCTGCTAAAGCGTCGTTGAAGGCATCGTCCGGCAACTCCTTCTTCCTCGTCCTGAGGGCACGCAGCAGCAAGGATTTGGTGCACTGCCTGGTGCACGAAGTGCAGTTCAATGCACCTCGCTCCGAGCTTTCCCCTTAGCATTCTTGAGAGGGGGATGCGCCTCACTGGTATGGAACAAACTGCCTGCCGGAACCTCCCCTTCCTGGCCTTCGCAGCATGGTAAACAGTGTTTCAGCATGCGCCGCAATCTGGGTAAGTCTAGCTGGCCAGGCAGAAAAAAGAGGCTTCAGGTAGTGAAGCATACGCAAATGCTTCTCCAGATCAATCTCACGCTGGGCCAAAAACGCACTGCGTTCCCACAAGCGCTTCGCCTGAGTGCTGCAACTCGGCGGCTCAGGTGAACATCAGCATGGCTCTAAGGGCCCAACCTAGACACAGACGTGTAGTCCGGTTGCATTTGAGTTGCCAGCTTCATGGCTTTAGGATGCGGACCGGAGTATTCGTGCATGCACTTCTCCACGGCTCCAAGGAAGTCCTTCTCCGGTGTGACCGGGTGGATCAAGCCATTTCCGGAGCTGTAGCCAAATCGAATAACGTTGGTCACCTCGACATACCGAGCCTGTGGCGAAGTGTTCTCTGTCTTGTAAAGGTCCGTCTTGGCATAGAAATCCAATTTGGCCGCGCGCTCTTTATCTGTCAATACATCTTGCAGCCTCACCACCTCTCCCTTGTCATCTCGCCTGCTCCCATTGAGCACATCTGGCACCGACCAAACTAAGCCACCTGCCTTTAGTCCGCCCCAGTATACAGTGGGCCAGACTGGGCTCTTCCCGCCCCTCCTGAACTTCTCGCAGAGCTTCCGCAGCAAGCGTTGCAGTTTGTGCGCCGCTTCCCGTCTGTCCTCTGCTTCTGGAGCAGCTGCTACTGCCTTGACTCCCTGCCCGACGTCCACTATCAAGTACTCCTCCAGATCGACATCGCCTGGGAAGATCATTTGACTAAAGCGGAAACTGCCGTCTGGACGGCAGAGGCTTTGCAGGGAACACTGGTTGACGACTTGTCTCAAGTCCTCGCTGAGATCAGCGACGAAGCGCTCCTCGACCAAAGCTGACAGTCTGCAGAAATTGCACTGGGCCTTGCAGCCTTGTTTGAGGCATGGTCTGCATCGGATGAACCTTTCTGCATCCTGGATCCCAGCCCAGTCAACATGTTGGAGGCACTCTTGTTTTTTCAATTCCTCATCTGTCATGGGCTTCGGTTTCGTGTCAAAGCCCATGATGCTAGAAAGCTCGACCGCGGTCTTGTTGAGCTCTTCTTGCGCCAAGTCCTCAGTTTCCCCGGTGACGGCAACTCGGAGCATCCGGAATTGGCTTCCACTAGCCGGAAAGAGCGACACACTGACCAGTGTGCTGCCATCTAATCGGAACTCCAAGCGGTTTCGGAAGATCTGAGGTGCCCCCGGTCTCAACCTGCTGTGGTCTGGCCCTGCTCCAGCCTGGAGCTTTAGCTCGCACAGGCGGTGAGCGATTTCGGGGAAGAGGTTTGGCGAGATGAAGCCATCCACATCGATATAACCAACTGCACATTCAGCCGGATGGGGATCCGAAAGGTGGGCCAAGGGCAAGCAACATGGAACGGTGAATTCATCCTGCATGCGTCGTCTTTGGATAATGCCTTTCGAAAGCATGACCTCTGCCATGATCCTCCTTTCTTCCGGACTATTTTCCTCCCACAAGCACTCAAGGAGCTTCCAGGTTACCACTCCACTTGTTTTGAAGCGATACACATCCTTCGGCATGCGCCAGCTGACAGAGTCAATGCTCTGTTTGTGTTCCTCCGAGTGCTCGAAAGCACTTTCGTCCCAGTACCGCAAACTCATGAGGGAGGCCAGGGCGAGTGCCACTTTTCGGACATTCAGAAGCACACGATCGCGAAGGCCTGGCTTGTTGTACCAAAATAGAACCCCAAGCGCATGCAACAAATTCAGCAGCTGGGGGACATGGTTTTTTGCAACGCCGGATGGCTGCATGCCCATAAGCGTTGCTTCGAGCTGATCCAGTCGCAGAGAAGTGCAGTGCACTTCAATTGAAATGCTGTCTGTCAGATCATCGTCATCACGATCGGCGGGAGTCTTCAAGCACACATGTGAAGAGGCAGGAACTACAAAGTCTTTGCGCAGGGTTGCATGCTTGCCTGTGAGATTCTTTGTAAGTACTGCCGTCCCAGGCAATGCATGAATTGGAAGAATTTCTTCAAGACTCGTTCTGTTCACAGTGAGCTTGAAGGGTGCAGCAAGTGCAGTGAGCAACTCGTGCGCATGCAACCAAGATACTGGGTAGGTTTTCGCCTGAATTCCAACATGTTGTGGTGCATCAGTGCCTTCTTGTTGATGAGATTGCAGCCATTCCGGTTCTGGTGTAAGTGCATCCCGGGCCAGATCTTGCAAACGGTCTCGCAAAGGCTGTATGTACTTTTCTGAATCGCTGCCAAAGTTTTCGACTCGATGCAGCCATCCAGACCCAGTATTCACGCGTTGAAGCTGCTGTCGCAAACGAGGCAACTGCGGCAGCAAGCCATCAATGCGACGATTGATCTCCTCTGCATTAAAGGTCTCGTGACGCTGGGACCACTTCGCCCCAACCACCAGGACAGGAGGAGCCCGGTCATCTGACTCCAACTTCGCGTCAACAGCATAGCGGGCCACTGCCCATAACCAAAACTTCAAATGATGCCAGGCTTCCTCCATGTGCAAGGCTGAGTGATGTCTAGGAGTCTAGACACATGTTCGAATGTTATCACCTGTCACCGTGCTTCTTTCTACTCAGGACTGACGGGCCTGTTGCGACCTACATGAGATCCACATTATTTAGAGTCCGCAGGCTTGCGATATTGAAGCACCGGCAAACTGCACTGTCTACATCCGTTGACTCAGCCTGTGGAATGTCAAGAGTAATCTGGGGAACCATCCGGCCTCCATGTCCAGGCTGGTGTCACAGAACACGACATAGATCCCACGCTTCTGGAAGTAGAGCAGATTGCAGAGAGCGTACACCTCTTGCCCAGGCAAGTCCCAACACTGCAGCCGCAGCTGGAGCGCAGGGTCCTCTTCTGAAGAGTTTTTGGCAGCATCTGCAACTTTCTTCACGAGCCAGTCCCCGATGGAACGTGCTACCAAGGGCTCCCCCTTCTTCGTTGCCATCATGGTTTGACCATCTCCCTTTACAGCATAGTCTTTCTGATCGGGCTCATCGTCGCGAGCAGGCACGGTACGTCCACGGTACGTCGAATGCTAGGCCGGGCTGATGCCAGTGGCATCTCGCGGTGCTTGTCAGAGTAGTCTGAGATCGACCGATTTTGGGGAGTCTTCATGGAACTCATGGAACTGGCCCTTTTGATTGCGGGAGCTTGCCTAGGTTTCCTATCCTTGTGGAGAAACTGCTCAGCTGTGTAGTCATAGAGTAATGTCTCGCTTTCCTTCCATGTGGGATTCAGATCCGTGCCAGCTTCTCCAGCCCAAATGTCGACACCGAACGTCGAAATCTCGTCAGCACGTGGCTGCTCACCCTTCAGCCGCCTTTCAAGGGCATGCATCATGCGGTCAATGCCAAAACAACCCAAAACAACAGCTCATGACTGCGAATGTGCATTGTGGCAGCATGCACCCGAGAGTTCCAGCTTCCATGTGGTGAGGTCCATACGTCTCCGGCCTAAGCGTGGTAGTCTTCCCGGCGCGAAGTAGAGGCGAACGACGGGCAGCGGCGAATGCCCAGACTGCTGCCAGGTACCAAGCTCCCGCCTCGCGCGATCCTTCTCGAAAGAAAAGGTAAAAGGCTTTTAGGGTTTAGGGCAACTCAGGAGGATCATGTGCACCCGCAGAAGAACCCGAATGATGAGCAAGTAGATAGGCTGCACGGATCATTAGGCAAACATGCGCAAGAAAGTCTTTCTCCAATCCGAGTGATGAAGATGGCGATGACGATTCCTAATCCTCAAAACATGCCTGCTTGGTGATAGCCCCTGCTGCACCTCTAAATACAAAGCCAAGTTGTTGAATCACACTCGGCGCGACCTCCTCGCGATTCTGCAGGAACTGGGCAGGGCTTTGGATGAGGTCGCCGAGCATCGCGCTGTCGAGGTCTCGGAGAACCGACGCTTCGATCTTCACCGTGTTCAGTTCTCTGAGGAAGCTTTGCAAGCGGCTGGGCTGGACGATGCTGAGGAAGTTCGTCAGTGTCATGGGCGCATCAGTTTCATCCTCGGGCTCTCTCAAACGGGCTGGCAAGGCCTGGTAGAGCTCACGCAACTTCGGCATGTGCTCTGTCACGGCATCCCGCAGATCTGGAGCAAGCTTCAGACTACTCAGGTCAACTTCTTCCTCGTCGGCCTCGGGGCTTGCGGGCGGGGGAAAAATTGCTAAAACGATCTAAAACGTATGTTCTAGGGTTTTGGTCAAGGTTTGTTCCGTCCCTGTTTTGGTTTTATTTCTTATTACTGTATCCCACTTATGTTTAAACCTAGTGCATTTGGCGCTTTCATAAATTTTAAAATTTCCCCTGTCAGGGTTTATGGGCTCCTTATTCGTTTTTCCTTTCACTGCCCCTTATGCTGCCCCTCATTCGTTTTCACCTAAACCCCAGTTCCCCAAACGATGAATGGGCGCCTTATTCATTATCATTCTTTCAAGCTTCATGATTCGCAATTTGTTAACATTGCCCTTTCATTCGTTTTTTCTCTTCAGTCACTATGTCCCTAAAAATTCACTTAACATAGGCGGTGAATAGGATTTTCACACGCCTAGACACTCATCAATTTTACCCATTCCTAGGGTTTATGGGCGGTTCAAAAATTTCATTATATTAGCAATAAAATAATGTTATGGTTGCTTTGTTCTTCAATCATTTTATCAGAAACCACCGAGTAAATTAAAGACTTATACATCTTACCATATTTGTATTTACATTGTTTAACTAATATATCCATCCAGTTAGTTCATATAAGTTTTGAAACAGTAGAACGTGATTTTTTCGGTTTGAAAACTTGCTCATATAGTCATCTCTTAGATTCTGATAACTATTATAAAGTGTCTTAGAACACAATGTATCCAACTTGACTGCAAGCATAGGTTGCATAAGTGCTTCTTCACAGGTAGGACATGAAGATAATAAAACAACTTAACCGATTACTTCTTCATTTATATCATTCGAAGAGTTTTTGGTTCGATTATCAATTTTACTACAATCGCCGCACCGTTTGTTACTTAGCTTGTTCATTTGGACATTTACATTTTTTACATGTAATTTTTTGGTTACATGGCTTTTCATTTTTGGTAGGAACCTTGTTTTTTCATCATCAACATTTTGTGTATCAACATTCTTATTTCCTATATGCAATTCGGTTTTACGTCTTTAAGTAATTAATACTTTCAACCATTACAGCGCCTCTTTAAACTAGTCCCGCCCCCTTTGCGACTACCGCCCCCTTTGGGACTACCAGTCCCGCCCGCTTTAGGACTAGGCTGCTGGAATTCCGAGCATATAGGGCATCTGCCAGTGCCTCTCAGAAGAAAAGCGGGGTCGAAATTGCAAGCTACGAAGACCCCGTGGGCACCTCCTGGCCTTGGCGCCCTTGCCTCTGATCTCGTTGTCAGCGAGGTCGATGCGGATGACAGTGGGATTGAGATTCAACGCATCTGCCAGTGCCTCTCAGGGGAAAGGCGGGGTCGCGGTTGCGAGCTGCAAAAACCCTCGGGCACTGCCTGGCCTTGGTGCACTCGTCTCTGATCCAGTTGTTACTGAGGTCGACGTGGGTGACTGTGCGGTTGGATTTCAGAGCATGTGCGAGTGCCTCTCAGGGGAGCAACGGGGCCGGTAGCAAGCTGCCGTATCTCTGTCACCGTGAAAGCTCGTGCCTCCCACAGGGCCGAACACCGTTCTTGATGGGATTCAGCGACTTGGATCTCCAGCTTTGTGATTGTGTCGTTCAGCCCAAGTGCCTGAAAACAGCTTTTTCTAAGACAAGCGCCCTCGGAGCACGGCAGCCCCACCTTGCAGAACTCCTCGGCCTCTGCTTCACCCACCTCAACATTGCGGAGGCGCAAGACCTTCAGCTTCCTGTAATCTTTCAGGGCTTTGGCCAGCCG